AAAAACGTGTCCTCCCATCGGTCATTTAATTCCAGTTCTGTACAGTGGTCTTCTCCTGTAACTTCAAGGGCTTTCCTTTTTGTTTTCAACAACTGAGTGCTCCCAAATAGTCATAATCATCATCCTTGCTTTTGTCACCATGCCCTTGGCAGCCACCATGGGCCACATGATGTTGCCAGGACAAATTAGAAGCCAGGGATTAATTCTTCCCGTTGAAAATCATGGGAGGGGCTCCCCTCCCTCATTCTTTCAGAATTCACTTTAGAAACCTTGTCATTGTAAATTCTTTATCCTAAGAAGAATTAGCAATTTTATCTTACACATGAATGCAATGGGTTGTAACCACTCATCTATATGAGGGTCAGCTCTTGGTCTCTGCTGTCTCTTTACAAGATTGCCTGTGATACACTTCATTCTAGTTTAATGCTTATTCAACAATGAAGCTTTATTTTTTCTTCTATTTCTGTAAAGACGTTTTCTAAGTTGAGAGTAGATTTTATTGTTCCCTATGTTCCTCCAACACTGCCCAAGTCATTGTTCAGGTAACGTTTCAATCACTCCCCACATGATAGATATATGAATAAGTCCACATTCATAAATTAGGAGGATGAGGTTCCTGAAAGTCCAGAGATTTGTCGACCTAATGTAGGACAGAGTTCTATCCCAAATCTACATCTGTTGAGTAGATTATAGTCAGACTGGATACTGCTAGGGCAAAACTTACACTTAGATTTATGTTGATTGGTGGATTTCATTGGTAGGGGGTCCATATTGTTAGTACTAAAGTTAGGGCTAGGATAGAGGCTAAGGTGAATATAAGTATGGAAGAGGTTAAAGTCTTTGACTAAGGTCTTTTGGGTTTTCTTTTATCCTATCCTACCGAAAAGAAAAAAAAACACCCAAATATACTGCCATTGAATCAGGACCACCCTACAGCCCACCTTAATATCCTAGGCTAATCTACATAAAATAATTACTCTTTTGAATTACATGGGCATGTATCTTTATCTACCCATTCTATAAATATTTGTTGACAGTTAATATGCCCCATGCTATTTTCGTGCAGTTTACTACTCCGAAACTTGACAGCCTTAAACCCACTTACTGTCTTCAGATGGAATAAAGTTTTGCTGAAGATGAGGGTGCTGGTGAAGAATACTGGCAGTACTAAAAGAACACACACATCTGTCTTCACAGAAGTACAGACAGATGCTCCTTAGAAGCAAGGATGGCACGCCTTCCTCTCACAGGCTCTGCACATGCTATTAAGAGAGATTAATTCCTGAAGAAGACCGTCAGGCTTGGTACAGCAGAGGGGCGGGGAAAGAGGAAGAGCCCCAGAAGGTGGACTGACGCCCCCACTGCCACAAGGGTCTCCAAGAGAACAGTGGTGAGAATGGCGCAGGTCCAGACATGTCTTGTGTACTGTCACCGTGAGCTGGAGTCCACTTGATGGCCCTACAACAGCAACTGCCTTCAACTACCCCTTTGGGGAACGCACCTTCGACATTCAAAAGTCTGTTTCTAGCATGTTTACCTGTAGCTTCAGGGGCATCCCTCAAGAAATCCACAAAGTACGCGTCGATGCCACAATCCACAGAAAGTTTTTCCTCGTCACCGAACTCCCCTTCCACCAGACTTGCCAAAGCCTCGTCAAACCAGGTCACATCCGCAGACACGGTGAACCGATCGGCTATGACACGCTTACACTCGTGCTTCCACAGTCTGAACAGCTCCTGTCAAAAGTGTCATTTAAGTGTGTTATGAATTCACGCCGTGCAGCAGTTGAGAATTCACATGGATGAAACGGTACAGTGCCGTCCTTCCTAATTTAAGATTCTTGACTTGTCAAAGAGATGCTTCAGATGAACTCAACCTTTGAAATTGGTTCTCACTGAAGGAGATCAAGTTTGAGATGCAAACACTAAGCCCTCTGCTGA